CATTAAATGATGTAGTCTGATTTTCATGGCAACTCCAAAGTGGGTGTGATTATCCCCATTTTACAGAGGAGTGAACAGAGCCTCTGCAAGGTTAAGCCAGCTGCTCATGACCACCCATCTAGTCCCTAGAGGAGCTCGGATTTCCACCCAGGGCTGCAGTCTTCCCTCTGCACCTTACTGCCTCCCAGATTAGGGGCTCTCTGTTCTCGATCTTTTTGTTCATTTGGTAGGCAGCAGAGGCCTTTTTCATTATCCACACCCAGGAGCCCCTTCTCTTGGATGCTGTCCTCAGAAGTCACAGTTGACCTGACATGAGCTTTAGCTGAGCCTGCGCTATGGGGTTGGCAGTCAAGGCCTGCAGGCCACAAACCCAGACCATGCCACCAGTACAGACCAGACCTGGACAGTGACAGAACTGGAAACACAGTAGCCAAAGCTGTGCCTGGCTTCTCCCCATTGACTTCTCCAGTCTCTGGCCACAGTTTCTCTCACCTCTTTCTCACCCCAGGGCTGGAGGTTGCAGCCTCTGAGCTAATCTGACCCTGAGGCAGCAGCCCTTACTGGATTGAGACTGGGTGGCCACAGTTTGCACAGGAGTCCACCACTCACTAGGTCACAACCTTAGCTGCTTCTTCAGATCCCTGGAGAGCTGTTAACAATCCCCATGCCCAGGCTACCCCAGACCAGTTGACTCCTGGTGGGGCCTGAGCATCAATTAGTCTTTCTAAAGGTCCCTAGGTGATCACAGTGTGCAACCCAGTTTGAAAACTGTCTATCCAGAGAAGAAAGTCAGTTGGGTCCTCTGGCTGTGAAACTTTCAAAAATATCCCTGGTGCTTTCATGGACATCTGGGGCTGTGACCATGACTAAGAAAACCTCCACCTGCCCCTCCTCCAGTCTCTGAGCTTGTGGCTCTCATTGGTCCAGTCACTTGATGGAACTGATGTTGGTAGTTGGAGAGGACACCCCTTGCTGGTTAAGGAGAGAGAGGCAAGTGTGCAGGAATAGGGGGACTTCAGCATCTCAGGCCAGTTGCTAGAGGACTGCACTTGGAGGCAGGGACTTAGATCTTGTCCTGGCTCAGACTTCTACCAGCTCAGTGACTAGGCACCCTTTTATTTATTTATTTATTTATAAAAGTATAATTGATATATTTTTTTCCTGTGAAGGTATAAATATTTTTATAAGGTATTTTTTTTTTTTATCATTTTTGTGATTTCAGTGAAAGTTTACAGAGCAATCTTATTTTCTATTCAACAGTTCATACACATTTTGTTTTATAACATTGACTGTAAACTCCATAATGTAACAGCTCTCTTCCCACTTTCTCCCTGTGATTACCTTTTCCCTGTGTCCTTTCCTATACATTCCTGCCCTCTGAGCTATCTCCCTGTGCAAACACTGCCCATCTGATCTCCCATGGTTGATTGTTTTAAAGAGAGTACCTACTTGGTGTAATTGTTCACCTTATACACCTATCTGGGAGCTCTGGTGGCATAGTGCCTAAGACATTTATTTGACTGCTAACCAGAAGGCTGGCTTTTCAAACCCACCAGCCACTCCTCGGAAGGAAGGTTGGGCAATCCTACTTCCATAGTGATACTGCCTCGGAAACCCAAGGAGGGGTCGCTATGAGTCGGGGCCAACTCGACAGCAAATAACAACAACAACAACAACCAGAAGGCTGGCGGTTCAAATCTACCAGCCACTCCTCGGAAGGAAGGTTGGGCAATCTACTTCCATAGTGATACCGCCTCAGAAACCCAAGAAGGGGTCGCTATGAGTCAGATCCGACTTGACTGCGGTTGTGTTCATACATCTGTTTGTCTCTTGTTTGGCTGGAAGCCACAGGAATGAGTTCAATTTCAGGCCCAAAGGGTGACTAGGGACCATAATCTCAGGGGTTTCACCAGTGTCTATCAGACCAATAAGCCTGGTCTCTTTGTGATTTTGAGTTTTGTTCCACATTCTTCTCCCACTCTATCTAGGTACTCCTATTTTGATCCCTTTCTGAGTGGTTAACAATGGTACCTGGGCACCGTCTAGTTCTTCTGGTCTCAGAGTCGTGTAGGCTGAAGTTTGCATGGTCCACTAGTCCCTTGGACTACTTGCTTCCATGCATCTTTGGTTTTCTTCATTCTTCTTTACTCTGGACTAGGAGAGACCAATTTTTGCATCTTAGATGGCGCTTGCAAGCTTTGAAGACCCCAGTTGCTACTTACCAAAGTAGGATGTAGAACAATGTCTTTGTGTAGTATGTTATGCTATTTGAGCTTGATCCCCTGAGATTATGGTTCCAAGCCCGTGGGCCCAGTGACTCATTCCGTCAGGGTATTTGGCTATGGTTAAGAAGTTGTCATAACTTTGCCCTGTTAGCTCTATTATATGTATGGACATTCTTATAGCACATACAAATACGTATGTAGAAATACTGTCTCACAAACTTAGATATGGTCATGGGTATATTCCCTTTTGCTTAGACATACCTGATCATTTGTGACTGGGCACTATTAGAGCTTGGTTTCCCCATCTGAAAACGAAGGGGTAGAGATTGTCACTCCAGAACATGAACAGCAGAATCACTTGGGAAGTCTTTAAAATACAGATCCCTGGGCCCTGCCCCAGCTATGTCATCAAAATGTCAGGGGTGGGCCTGGGAGTCTGGGTCTGAAAAGCTCCTCAGTTATTCTACCAGATGATCAGGTTTGGATGCCACTCAGGTCACTTCCAGCCTTGTCATTCCAGGAACTGGAGATTGCAGAGCCCAGGTCTCCAGGCTCAGGTGTTTTCTGACTTAAGTAAATTTTGTGTGGGCCAAATGATAAGGTGGATAGTTGTTGGGTGCTGTGGAGTCCATTCAAACTCAGAGCAGAGCAGAGCTGCCCCTAGGGTTTTCTTAGCTGTAATCTTTATGGGAGCAGATCTCCCTGCCTATCTCCCATGGAACCGCTGAGTAGGTTCAAACTGCCAGCCTTTTGGTTAGCAGCCGAATGCTTAACATTTATGCCACCAGGTGGAGACAAAGTGGCTTTTCTTCTTCTTATTATTTTTATTGTGATTTGGGTGAAAGTTTACAGAGCAAATTCACTTTCCATACAGCAGTTCATATACACTTTGTTTCATGACACTGACTACAATTTACCACAGTGCATCAGCTCCCCTCCCACTTCCTCCTCATAGTTACCTCTTCCCTGTGTCCTTCCCTCCATGCACTCCTGCCCCCTGAGCTGTCTCCTTGTGCATACACAGCCCTTCTATTCTCCCATGACTGTTCTCTCCAAGGAGTGTATCTACCTAATGTAAATGTTCAGCTCATATGCCTGTCTTTTGTTTGGCTAGAAGGAAAGTGGCATTTTTATAAAGAGCTTCCGTGTGCCAGTGGGTTTTACTGACTGGCCTTTGCAGCTACTCTACAAGACTGTTATTATCCCTGTTTTAGAGATGGATGGTAGTTTGCAGCTCAGAGAGGTTGTGTGACTTCCTTTTGTCCCACAGCTGAGACCCAGTGCCCAACCCTAGGGCCATCCAAGTCTAGACCCCAGTCTCTTTCCAACTTACCTAGATCTTCTTTTTCCTTCCAACAGTAACTCACCTCAGGGACATAGTTTCTTTGTTTTTCACAAGAAGGTAAAGAATTCCGTTATGGGGTTGGCTTCTAGGGCCAGCCCATTTTACACAATATATAGTTTACAAAAACCGAGTCTGTACACAACCTACCAGGCATTCCTTCATTCCAAAACAAATTCTGCCCTGATAAAGAGAATCCCTTCCTATACCCCAAGGAGTCTCATCTGAAGGGAGACAGCGCCTCCTTCTGGGGGCTACAGAACCCCAAGGCTGACTCTGCAGGCCCAAGAAGATGAGTTGCAGCTATGGGTGAGATGATGGGATGTGAATAGAATAGGCCCAGGCACCCGCCTCCATGCTCCCTATTTAGGTCTAAAAGCTGGAGACCACCTGGTCTTCACGCCTCTCCCACTTCCTCCGATCCTGACCCTGCTGCAGGACTCTAGAAACCCCCTGTTCTTATGAATCTCTGGAGGATCCAGTAACCCGCATCAAGGGTTAACCCCAAACCCTCCACCTCCCTCCTCTCCCTCTTGTCCGCTAGCCTGTTGCCATGGAAACGTGGCTAAAAATAAAATGGGCTCCCAAAGCCCAGCCCCATGCACAGGAGTCAAAACAAACTAATTAAAGCAGCCAGGCTAAAATGTGAAGATAATTACACCCTCACTCTGGAGCCAGTCGTGGGGATGGAAACGCCAAGCAGGCTATCTCCCCTCCCCCTCAGGAAGTGCCTCGAGCCCATCCCTGAACAATGGCCTGGTTCCTCCTCTGCATGGACCAGGGTCCCACCACACAGTCTTACCCCTCCCCAGAAGAACCTACCCTGCTTAGCCCTGAGATTGGGGAGCCCAAGCTCCCACTGTGAAGGCCTATCAAATCCACAAGTATGATTTCATGTAAAGGCGCTCTGGTGAGGCTGTGGTTAAAGCATTCGCTGCTAACCAAAAGGCTGGTGATTTGAACCCACCAGCTGCTCCATGGGAGAAAGATGAGGCAGTGTGTTTCATAAAGGTTTACAGACTTAGAAACACTTTGGGGCAGTTCTTCTCTGCCCTATAGGTTGCTATGAGTCAGAATTGACTCAGTGGCAATGGGTTTGGGTTTGGTTTGGGTATAACTTCATATGGGGCCTGTACCCCACCTACAATGGCCAAGGAGAAGGTAGGATGAGTTGAAATCTGAGGCTGTTTTTTCACATCCTCCTTGAAATTCCAGGAAGTCCCTACACTGCTCTGGGGCTGCTTTGGTTCCCTAAGTTTAAAGGCTCTGAGATAGCTGCCTTGTCTTCTGGGCTGCTACCTCCCCATTCAGTGGCCTGAAGCCTGGCAGATGACCCTGCATCCTCTCTGGTCCAGGGACCGGAGGAAAGCCTTGTCCTCAGGCCACATGGGTGTGAGTCAGGCTTATCCTACCACAGGCCCTTTGCCTTACAGGACCATCAAGGTGGAGGTGTACGATTGGGATAGAGACGGCAGGTAAGTGGACAGGAGGGCCCAGGTAAGCATCGGTGGAGGCAGCCCTAGGGAGGGATGTTAGGTCCTGCCCACATGTGGGGAGAGACGTGTCCAGGCCCCCACCACAGCATCTCTGGGGCTGGGAGGGCTAGGTTATCCTGTGGGAGGTCCACTGCCTCAGTGGCTCATCCCCACTCAGTGCTCCTTTCTTCAGGATATGGTGCAAAGGGCTTAAGAGGCCTCTTGGCCCAAAATAGCTGCCACATGGCCAGCCAGCACCTGAAATCTCCCCTGGTTTGGCAGAATTTAGGATTTTCTGGAACATGCATGTTCCAGGGAACAGACAGTGGTGATTCCCAAGCATTCATGGACACGTTCTCTGTGTGAGGCCTCGGGCTAAGCATTGTGGGGCCACTGAGATGCAGAAGATGAGCTCAGCCCTCTAGTAGGAAGGCCCACCACACATATAGCCCTCAGTTGATCAGAGGTGCTGTTGTAGAGAGCAAGGGCCAAGGGACTGAGTCATGAGCCGGGAAGATTTGATGCACAAAAACAGACTTTCAGGAGTCATGAGGCAGTGGTTATGGTTGGTGGGTGGGAGGGTAGTTCTCACTCAAGGTCTTTGGGAGGGCGGCAGCTAATGCCTTTCCCTTCTGTGGAGTCCCCAAGGAGCCAGTGTTGCTGGGAATTCATAGACGAGGACAACAGGTCTCTCACAGCTTTAGTCCAGAACCACACTGACTTCTACTTGTCCTTTGAACCCAATCTAAGTATGTCATCTTGACTTTTGGGCCCCTTCATTGTGTGGCACCACCAAGGGGTGGCCCTATAAATCTCCAATGTTGTTGTTGTTAGGTGATATTTACCCTGTGGGCTTCTCCCTCATAACCCCCACTGTTGCTGGTTACAACAGTTAGGTGTTGTTAGGTGTTAAACCTCTATTAGTATCTCCCAAGTCTGTGATGTGGACCGTGATGTCCACATCTCAATGTAAAGGGTGTCCTTAAATAATGCAGCTTTTAGGCAAATCCCCAAGCCCCCTTCTGAGGAGCATGCTTTCCCCTAAGACTTTCCCACAGAGAAACTCCAATGCCAACATGATCCCCAGTCCCTCCCTCCTTCCCTTCTTCCTTCCTTGTCTCCTAACTACCTTGCAGCCAAGCAGGTCCGCTTGATGCTTCCACCCACGATTTGCCTTTTCTTACCATGGAATTGTCCACACTTCTTTACCTGAAATAGTCTCCTTTTCCATGTCAGCTGAAGATAGTTGCCAAGTGCCACTGGATCCTGGCCTCGAGCTCACAGTCTGAAGGCTGAGAGTTGTAAACAAGTTGTCAAAATACAGGGTGGGTTCAAGGTGGGGAAGGCCCCAGGGACACCTTCTGGGTATCACTCTCCAGCAGGACATCCCAGGTCAGGACATTGAATGCTGTTGTAACCAGGAACACTGGGGGTTAGGAGGGAGCAGACCACAGGGTAAATACCAAAAGTTCTGCTTTGTACAGTATTTTGTTGCATGTACAAAGACAAACACCGTAGGGACAGAACCTCAGAAGTGTGGGCACCACAGGAACCATCCCCTGCTGCCTGGATGGACAAAGCTCTTATCATCTTTTTAAAAATTCTTATTGGACAAATGTCAAATACATCGAAAAGTTGAAAAAAGTGTTTAATGGATACCTTTAAGCCCATCAGGAGCTCTGGTAGTGTAGTGCCTAAACCATTTGACTGTTAACCAGAAGTCTGGTGGTTCAAACCTACCAACCAGTCCTCGGAAGGAAGGTTGGGCAATCTACTTCCGTAGTGATACCACCTCGGAAACCCAGGGAGGGGTCGCTGTGAGTTGGACACAACTCTACGGCAGTGGGTTTGGTTGGTTTTTTGGTTTAAGCCCATCACCTGAATATAACTATTGTTAAAATTTGCCATATTTGCTTTGTGTATGTTTTGTTGACATAATTTAAAATAAATTACAGACATGGCAGTTCAACTCTAAATGTTTCATTGGGCCTGTCTAAAAGATGAGGACGTTTTTCTACATAATCACAAATACAGTGATCACACTTCATACATTGAACAATAATTCTTGACTACCATCTAATATGTATTTCATATTCAAATTTCCCTAGTTGTCCTCCAAATACCTTTTATTGCTAGCTTGTTCAAACCAGAATCCAATTAGGAGCCTTGCATTCCAATTTGGTGGTTATATGTACAAAGTTCAGATTGCTGTATGAAACACTTTTTCAACTCCCTCCGGCCTTGGGGTCAGTCCTTCTCAGGAACCTCTTGGCTCTCTCTTCTCCATCAAAGCTTGTCCATCCAGGGTCTTATTCCTCCAGGGCTGCTTTCCCAGGTGCCCATTGGGTTTCCTGACCCTGGGCTCTTTTCCCAGGGACCCAGCCTCTCTGCTGACAGGTGCCCCTGAGACAAAGGCCCAAGCAGAATTGGGAGCCAGGGGAAGGGTTGTGTGAGAGGTGATGGGATGGGCAGAGGTGGAGCCTGGTGTGGGCCTTGTGGTCTCAGCAGCAGCCTTCCCTTGCAGCCATGACTTCATTGGGGAATTCACCACCAGCTACCGGGAGCTGGCCCGCGGGCAGAGCCAATTCAACATCTATGAGGTGAGGCAGCCCCAGAAGTCTGGGATTTGCTCTGATGATGATTTAATAGCTCCTAGTCATTGAGGGCTATAGGGAGCCAGGCACTGGGCTGGAGCTTTGTATGTTCACCTGTGAGTTGGATGTGATTGTCCCATTTTACAGTGAAGGAGACCCATTCTAAGAAGTTAGGGGACCTGCCTAAGTCCTGTCATTCAGTGAGTGGCAGAATCAAGAGGCAAACAATGCAGGCTTGTCTGACTCCAAATCACTGAGCTATGTTGTTGTTAAGTGCCCTTGAGTCAGCTCAAACTTGTAGCGACCCTATCTGTGTACAACAGAATGAAACATTGCCTGGTCCTGCGCCAGCCTCACAATCCTTGCTATACCTGAGCCCATCATTGCAGCCACTGTGTCAGTCCATCATGTTGAGGGCCTCCCCCTTTTTTGCTGACCCTCTACTTTACCAAGCATGATATCCTTCTCCAGGCAATGGCCCCTTCTGAAAACATGACCAAAGTAGGTGAGACGAAGTCTGGACAGTCTTGCTTCTAAGGAGCATTCCAGCTGCACTTCTTCCAGGACAAATTTTTTCAATCTGGTAGTCCATGGTACTTTCAGTATTCTTCACCAACTTCACAACTCAAAAGTATCAACACTTCTTCTGTCTTCCTTATTCATTGTCCAGCTTTCACATCCATATGAGGCAATTGAAAATACCATGGCTTGGGGTTAAGTGCACCTTAGTCTTCACAGAGACATCTTTGCTCTTCAGCACTTGAAAGAGGTCTTTTGCAGTAGATTTGCCCAGTGCAAAAGTCGTCTGAGTTTTTGGCTGCTGCTTCCATTAATGTTGATTGTGGAACCAAGTAGTATGAAATCTTTGACAACTTCAATCTTTTCTCCGTTTATCGTGATGTAGCTTGTTGGTACAGCTGTGAGGAGTCTTGTTTTTATATTGAGGTGTAATCTATACTGCAGGCTGTAGTCGTTAGCCTTCATCAATAAGTGCTTCAAGTCATCTTCACTTTCAGCAAGCAAGATTGTGTCGTTTGCATATCACAGGTTATTAATGAGTCTTCCTTCAATCCTGATGCCACATTCTTCTTCATATAGTCCAGCTTCTCAGATTATTTGCTCAGTATACAGATTGAATAAGTATGGTGAAAGGCTACAACCCTAATGCACTCCCTTCTTGATTTTAAACCATGCAGTGTCCCCATTTTCTGTTCAAATGACAGCTTCCTGGTCTATATACAGGTTCCTCATGAGCACTTAAAGGGAGAAAGAAGAAGGAGAAAGGGATAGGGTGGGGGACACTATGAGGAGAAGGTTCCAGGCCTGGGATCTGAATCCTGAGTTCAAAACTTCCCCCATCCTCATTCAGAACAGTTTCAGGGCCTGTTGAATATCTTTGCATTTCTGGAAAGAGTCCAGAATAGGAGTCAGGAAGCCTTGGTCTAGACTCAGCCCTGCCACTAGCTAGATGACTCTGGACAAGGCACCTGATCTCTCTAGAGATGATTGCATTTGCCCCAAAGGACAATTTCTGCCACTGAGCCTTTGCTTGTGTATTCTCTTCTTTGCAGAATATCCTTCCCACCATCCAAACCTTGCTCTGGTCTTCCTCTTCTAAGTGGCCTGCCCTGGCCACTGCATCCTCCTGTGTTTCTTCCACTTCTGAACTTCCATGGACAGAAGAGTTTGTGCCAAACTTCCTGAACCATGGAGACTTAGGATCCTAATAACTGCTTAGATTCATATCCTGGCTCTACCACTTACTCGCTGTGTGACCTTGGATAAGTCACTAAACCCCTCTGTGCTGGTATAAGCTGAGGATTAAATAAGTGAATAGGACAGTGCCTGGCCCTAAGTGAGCAATACACAGGTGCTGTCGTTTGTTATCATCTATTGAGTGCATGGGTGCCAGGAGATTTGCCATTTCACAACCCTCCTGCAATACCAGTGGTGCAATTCTCATGTAAGCAGCCTCACAGCTAGTGAAGATGAAGAGCTGGATTTGCCTCCAATCACTGAATCCAAATCCCATGTACTTCTACTTCCTCGCCTTGTGTGGTATACACATACCCTATCTGTGATGCACTTAGGTTGTTCATAAATAATCGTGTCCAGAGTATTAGCACAAAAAAAGTAGCAAACAATACATAGAAGTCAGTGTTCAAACTTTTTAACTTTTTATTGTGATTTGGGTGAAATTTTACAAAGCAGATTCATTTTACATTATTCAACAGTTCATACACATTTTGTTTTCTGACACTGGTTTTATTACCTGCAGTGTAACATCTCAGGGCCTGCCACTTCCTCCCTGTGGTTACCCTTTCTCTGTGTCCTTCTTACCTATGTATTCCTACTTTCCTACCTTTCTGCCCGTGCAAATGCTTCCCTTATAATCTCCCATGGTTGATAATTCTAAGGAGTGCATCTCCCTGATATAGGTGTTCATCTCCTAGATCTGTCTGTTGTTTGGCTGAGAGTTAAGTCTGAGGAGTGAGTTCAATTCCAGGCCCATTCTAGGGACCATCATCTCTGGGGTTTCACCAGTCTCCATCAGACCAGTAAGCCTGGCCATCTTTTTTTGTGTGTGATTTTTGAGTTTTGTTCCACATTTTTCTCCCATTCTATACAAGATCTCTAATTTTGATCACTTTTTGAGTGGTTGACATTGGTAGCTGGGCACCACCTAGTTTTTCTGGTCTCAGTTTTGTATAGGCTGAGGTTCTCATGGTCTATTAGTCCTTTGGACTGTTTCCAGGTGTCTTTAATTTTCTTCACTCTTCTTTGCTCTGGACAAGAAGAGACCAACAGTAGTCACCAGTGTTCACTCTTAACAGTTTCATGGTGAGGAATCAATGTTCACTCTTATGTCACTGGGCTGGCATATCTCTTGACTGGCTCTGTCCCCTTCACTATTGGTCCAGCTCTCAACTAGCATCCTCAGGACAGTTCTGTGCCAGTGTCTCTTGAAGCAAAACTGCTTTGAGAGCAACCCTAACATGGGTTGGCTGCAGGCCCCCTGTACGTTGGATAGGTCCCCCAGTGTCTCTGACAGGGCTCCCCAGTGCATAAGACAAGCTCTCCAGCACCTTGGACAGGTGTCCTGTGCTACTTCTGGGCCGGTCTCTCTCAGCCAGGGTTCCTGCTGCTGCCTGGGCCCACTCGTGGTCTCAGCTGCCTCTGGTGCTACTACAGCCCAAGTGTGTTGCATTCTCAGCCCACTATTCTCAGCTGCTCTGTTGCCACTTCTCGGCTCAGGAGATGCTGGCTTCTGCTTCTCCTTGGCCTCTGCTGCTCTTTTCTCCCAGCTCTGCCTTCTACCAGGTCCAGGGTTTCTGGTGCTTCTGGTGCCAGTCCTTTCTGATGAATCTTCATATCTCTTATCCCCCCACCAGACTGACTTCCCTGCCCTGGCTCAAGCTTGGAGGTGGGGAGCGTTCTTTAGCACAGAGCTTCCATATCCCTAGGGGGATGTGCTCAGCCCACTTCCAAGAGCCAAACATTCACACTCTCCAACCAGGAAGCTCAGTGAGCCTCTGGCTTCCTAAGCTTTTATTGGCCTCTCCATGGACCCGCTGAGGCTTCATTATCATCAAGTGTCCAGGTGATTCCTCTTAGTTGGGTCAACTCTCACTTATTGGCCTCAGTTGTGGTTCTACTCACAAAACCAGGACCAAAGACCAAATCATTCACTGCAAAGGGTGCCATACCCCGCACTTTGAATCTATGTTCTGCATGGTCAGGTCTTGTGTTCCCATCTAGGCATTAAGCTCTCTCAAGGGCAGGGAAAGTGACAGTCCTTTCTGTTGCCTAGCTCTACCCACCCCCATATACACCACGGCCAAGGCAGTGCTTGGCACACAGTAGGTGCTTATTATGCATACATTGAATTAGATCAGACAAACTCTTGTGAAGATGGAACATGGATTTCCTTGAAAGGGCTCTGATACTCTCAGTAAATTGTTTTGCTTTCTGCATCTGCAAAGGGAAGGGCTGTCTTGCAGCCCCCATCTCCCCATCCACCCACCCCGGCAGAGAAGCAAGCTCCCTCTTCCTCTGGTCTCCTTTGAGGAGACTTCTAGGGAAGTAAAGGGAGGAAGGGGGGGTCAGATCTGGAGTTGGGAGTCGAAAGGTGCTTGACAGGCTCAGAAGGGGTCATGGTATCTCAGGCTACAAGCAGAAAAAGTTAAATTGTTTTCTCAGTGGTTGATCCTTGCTCCTTTGAATCAATAAGAGAAACTACAGATCTGGAAAGCAGAAGCCCTGTCTTCACACATCAGAAACTCCATCAGGTAGAAAACGAATCACACTTCTGGCAGCCCCAGGGGAAAGATGTTGGACTGTGGAGGTTGTTTCTGCCTATTTGCACTGAGGAGAGCCTTTCTAGAGTCAGAATGGCTTGAAGAGAGAACAGGTTTCTACCAGAAAAGGCCCACCACGTCTCGGGCCCTGACATCACTCTGCGTGTCAGAGTCCTTGTCTAGCTGTCTACTGGCTCCTCCTCAACCTTCTTGTTACACTTGTCAATTCTGACTCCTAGCAAACCCCCTGTTACAGAGTAGAACTGCTCCACAGTGTTTTCTAGTCTGTAATCTTTATAGAAGCAGGTCATCAGGTTATTTCTACCATGGAACTGCTGGGTGGGTTCGAAACGCCAGCCCTTAGGTTAGCATCTGAGTGCTTCACTGTTGCACCACTAGAGTTCTTATCCTCCTCAGATTAACCACCTAAAACTGAACATGATAGCTAACGCCTCACCACACCCTCCTTCCCTTCTGGCCAGTCAGCTCTTTCTCCTATGCTCCCATCACTGGGGCCCAGGGCATCTTGGGAGTCATCTTTGACACCTCCCAACCCACATCTGGTCCACAACTAATCCTTCCCCCTCTACCACCCAAATATTCTAACATCGGTTCCCTGCATCACCATCCACCACTGTGTCCTCATCATATCCCCTGTGTGTGGGCTTTACACCAACCTTCTAATGGCCTTCCTGCCTCCTTCTGTTC